TAAAACGACCTACATTTTGAAATGAATGGTGTGTATACGGGTGCGATAAAAAAACAAAAAATACAAGTGACAAAATTCTGACAAACGAAAGCACGAACGCCACTTGAAATTTTAATTTTATTTTGGTAAACAAATACGCAGAAGAAGTGCCTCAGCTTGACCAACAATCTTGATCTAAAAGCATCAATATACAAGTGGGGGACAAAAAAATATATTCTCCAATTAACATCCAACCTGTGTTTTGAAATCTGGACTGGACTGGACGCTCAAACCGGTTCGACCAAGAATCAGAGACCTTTCTAGTCTGATTTCAGTTAATATTTGATAGATATAAAAATTGGTCAAACTCGGTCAAATCCAAACAAAATCGTAATTTGACAGGTAATCGGCACCGGTTAAACTGAAATTTTGAAATTTTGAAAATAAATTATTTTTTAAATATTTTTTATAGTTAATTTTTACCGATTTTAGAAGTCGATCTAAATCGGTTAAATCGGTGAATTAATAAACCACTTAAGTTACCGTCTCACTTTTCAGTCCAGTTTTCAAAACATAGCATCTAACGGTTCCTTTGCGAACGAGTCGGTGCAAAAATTATTATCTGAGCTTTACTAGACAAAAAAGGTCATAGATAAAGCACACTTCCACACTTGCCCCAAATCCGGGTCAAGAGGCATTTAATCAGCCCCCGAACAGGCGCTTAACGTGGGTACTGAAATTTTTGAATACAAAATTATTGCAACAATTTGATACCGTGGAGATAAAGAAATGGCGAGCCTCGTTGGCGGTGAAGGTGTATTGAGAGAAACACGAGTTTGACTCAGAAAATGATTTGAAGCTAGGGTATAAATGGGAAGTCAACTTCATTATTAATTACTACCTCCATTACTGTCGGCTGGCTCGCATTAAATTATGCACATGAATAAAAAAATAATGATTGAGATTTAAATTTAATAAATCCTTTTTATTCTTATTTAATTATCCAACTACTATACAATTATCTCATCTTCTAGTATTAGAAATGTAAATGATGGAGGTAAGAAACATGATTAAAAATAGAAAAATAAATTAAGTTTACATTAGGAAAAAATAACAGAAAAAAGAAAATTTGATTTTTACCCTGTCGTAAAAAGAAGTGGAAAGATTGGTTCTTTTTCTACTTCTATAAGTTCTAACGCGACTTCGCTGGTCAACAATCCGTATTAAGCCTATCATGTTTTTTTTTTTTAAAAAAAAACAAAAAATGTACTTCAAAAATAATTATTTTCATCCAAAAAAAAATTAATAATTATTGTGATACTTGTAAAATGTATTTCCAAAAAGAAAAAGTCTGGGTCTAGCATATTTAAACCTTTGTTTTTTTTTTTTTTATGAAATCTCTTTATTTAAGGAATTAATGCACAAATTTTGTTTTTAATAATACACATTTTTGGTTTTTTACTTCTTCCTCTGATCTACCTAAATCAAGTGTTGTGTGCAGATGATGAATCTGATCCCAATATCGAAACAGAGATTGCTTATCTAATACTTTGGATGCTGGATGTTGTTACGTGAGGATTTTGTAGATGTTTAAAGATCGATTCTTATGGAGAAAAAGGATTTTTTCCGCCTATTTATTTATCAAGAAAGGGAACAATGATACATACAATATGTGAAAAACTTACAAAGAATAATGACAATATATTATCAAATTTATTTATTTCTAATAAAAACAATGATACTACAGAAAAATTGTTACAAGGACAGACAATGAATAAATTATATCCTTCCATTTTTCTTATACAATTATTGTTAAAGGGGCAATTTAGATATTGACACATTTTCCTTCATATTTCCTGAAAGTGTTCAAATTTGGAAACATGCATCTGACCTGGAAGACGGACGTGTTCCACAAGGTTAATATTGAAAGCGTATGAGAAGTTGATAACTAACTATACGTATTATATACTTCAAATGATGAAAAGAATTTCTTTTTCTTGGGAATTGTTTTCGTTTTTTTTTTTTATGTTTTAGTTTCTTGAAAAGGTCGTGCATCATGTATTGCATGCGTGCTCTTGGGTGCAACATATGTGCTGGAAAAAAAAAATTACACCGTTAAAGTTTTTTTTCCTCCAAGTCCTTACCCTAAAAAAAAAAAACTGAAATGGATTTTATCACTGTTTGCGCGAAATTTGTGCTCCCGAAACCGTGAAAAAAAGGAACATGAATCACCCAAAACACAATAAGATCAAATGATCGTGGTTGAGTTCGAACTGGTCTCTAACTAGGATCGGGTCTTATTTATTAGTTTTAGTTTGAGAAAGACAAGAAGAAATTAGAGAAAAGTGAATAATAGCCAAAGAGACGGCGATTGAATCGTAAAGGTGGAAAAATCGTTCCACGGACTGTGGATTAGCCGGCGGCGGACAGAAATTATTAAGAATGGCTAGATCTGCCGTAAGCATACAAAGATCAGATTAGACGGAACTAACAGGTCTGTCCACGAAGATGAGCACCTACGGCCCTTATAAGAGTATAACCAAATTCGTTTAAGTAGAAAACGGTGAACACCTACCTATTTCTATGTAGGAGGAACATGTGAAACAACTCTATCGCTAAGCTAGGGGCTAAGTAAGCATGATAGAATGTGAGGTTCTAACATAAGAAAGGTAAAAACATAATAAAAAAATGCTGAAAAAAGAAAAAAATACAATAAAAGACACGAGAATTTTGTGGTTGATCGATGATGTCTTTCTTCTTCACGGCTACCTCTATTGATAGTGCTTGGATAAAACCTTGGCCGCCATATGCTTTTTTAGAGGAGGTAACTTAACCTAATTAGCTTCCTTGGAAATAGGAGATTATTCCCAAATATATCTCCTTAATTATTGGTAATTCTCCTTTAAAAAGGAAAAAGAAATAAGGATGAATCTTCCTTATTATCTCCACGTAAATTAAGCAAACTCTTGGGCCATAATTATATCACCCGTCAACCCAACTAATCAAAAAGTGGCCGCACATAATACCCTTTGAACGTTTATATTAAATATAACTTTGATATGAACGTTGATAAGCACATCATTACCACTAGCCATATGCATTCCTTGTATCCACATAACACCATCCAATTGGATAAAGAACATAGTACGGGACCCATGCATAATTTGAATGATATGGAAAGAAACTCGAGGCATGCTTACAGGCTTGAGATGGTTGGTACCTCCATTCAAAACCGTTGCTGGTTCTGGGACTGGTCGTGGACTCTTGAGATCTTTGTTTTCGTGGATAGCTTCTACGACTTCTTCCATTTCGAGTTATGTCAACATTGGGACCTGATTTTTTACCGAACTGGCCATTTGAATGAGGGGAGCTAGGACTGTTGACGTTTCGTTTTTCAGCATCTTGAACTCTAGGATTGGGAATGGCATCCTTGATTTCTTTCATGGTTGTTGACGAGTACTGACCTTGCAAATTCGATGAAGAAGTCCCCATCTTGTCACCTCGTATCTCAAATTGTCTGCTAAACTGTCCAAGAATGGGATTTGTCATGGAAGCTCTACTGATTGCATTTGGACCGTTCTTCTTACTTCCCTCCTTGTTATTGGCTATCAACAAGTCTTGACCATGAAAAATCAATGGAAAAATAATCGGCTGATCACATCGGACCTGAGGCTGACTGCCAAACTGTATGAAAATTGGTTTGTTGGTGGCAAAACTACTAACTTTATCAGAAATCGTCTTGCTTGCAGATTTCCTTCTTGTCGACTATTGATAACAATTGTGGAATCAAATTTGAAACTCGAATCAACATGATATTCGCAAGTATCTATACCTCCCTGATTGAACATGTAAGGACTTGTGATGCGAACAACTCAATGCTGATATGCATCGCTGTAGACTCCTAATCGGCCTTGCTTATGCTACCAATTTTTTCCATTAAATAAGAATACTTTATTGCCAATAACTTGCCCCCGGGCATCAAAGGTACGCTTGTTAAAGCCACTTCCTAAGCATAGTAATCGTTTGCCTTATGCAGCCCTTTATTCATCAGCCGCAACATTCCAAACTCTTGATCCTCTTCATGAGTTGAATGAAATCCTATGCCATTTTGATCGGCATTAGAATTTCTCATGTCATATCTGTTTCCAGTCGATCTGCCACTCCTCTTGAACATACTGCCTCGCTGTAGAATAATAGGCTCTGAGAACCGATCCTAAATTTGTGAATTGTTGATACTGTGATGATGACATCTGAAAATGTTGATCGCGCACTAATAATGATGGACATTGATTCTGCTCCAGCGACACTTGCGACTGATTCTGTATTATTACATAAATTGGAGACAGTAACTCTAGCAACTGACCTTGTTCGAGCTGAAACAAACTCCACAAAAGTCTACCTGTCATCGATTGTTGGTTAAACTCATGGCTTTGCACCATCTAATCCTGAAACTGTACCATCCGCTCTTGGAACTTTTTAACCGACGGTGCTTGTTGTTGGATATCATTATTTGCTCAAGGAACGCCCTTGACTGTTTCTGAAACTGGTGAGATTCCAACATTTGATGTTGAACATACTGTTCTTGCTTTGGTAATGGATTGAATTCCTTGACCTGCGTTGCCTGTATCAGCAACTGGCTTTCTGCTACCATGGATGTACCCAGAATTTTTGACCCACAAACAACACCCTTGCCATTGCTGGATTTGCTTTATCGGCACTGAAAACTAGTCTTGCACTGATGATGGTGAGTTAGGAAATCGATGCCTGAATAACGACACCTCTATTGACCTCTCCAAGCATGCCGTCTCTTGTTGGGAATTGTCCAGTACCAACGTTTGTAATGGTCGCTCTTGCAACTTGGACGCTTGAGACCCTTGAGAACTAATCATCAGTTCAGCTCTGGTGATAACATACTCGAACTAACTGACTGCCAAGTCACGATTGCTACCTAGGATGTTTCCGCAACAGTGCTTACTGTAACTCTACCGTTGACCGCTCAAACTGTTGAGGCTTTGTTGATGATGATTACAACTGTTGTAACATTACATGTGATGGTTGCATCCACTGAGACTCTACCAATACGAGTTGCTGCATTTGCCGAATCTGTGTCAACGACTCTTGCTCCTTCTGGAATTGCAGCAGCAGCTGCTAGACAAGTGTAGCTAATGAATCATCCTGCTTAACTCGCATTAGATGTGGTTGAATTTGTTGAAATAACACTGATGGTGGTTGTGACTACAGCGATGGTTGTAGCGGCATACCATTTAACTATGGCGTTAACTGATTAGTCGGTTGAAACTCTACTCGTGATGGTTGAGACTGCTCTATAGATGGGCACCTTTTTGGTGATGACTGAATCGGCATCAGTGATAACTGAAACCGATGAAATTCTTCTGGAAATGAATCAATTGGTTGGGTCTGTTCCTGTAACCAATTAAGAATTAGCTCTACAGCCTTCTTCAATTGCTGAAGCTCTAACTACATCATTGACAGCTTGGTCTGCTGAAACTAAACTGATCGTGAAGTCTCATGAGCTAAAAAAGGAACTTGTTGAGACTCAATCGGCAGCTAGTAAACCTGCTGGACATGTGTCGATGAGTTTTGTTGAGCTGGATCTGTGGACTGTTTCAGTTGCTGGAACCGTAACTTCTTATCGATTGTTCGGTCTGCTGGGAATGCTTCGGTTGCGACCAAACCCGTCTGATCAGCCAAGACAGTAACTGATAATCTTGACACTCCATCGACTGATAGACATGTGCCGATGTTGTTACTGTTTGTTTAGACTCTAGCAGAGTATGCTGGATTTGTGTCGTTTATGGATCAGTGTTCTAAGGATGAACCGATTATAACAACCTTCATGGTTTGGTGCTGATGATAGCTGAATCAGTGAAAACTCCATCAACGATTGCTGGAGCTTTACCAGGAACGGTTTTAACTGCTGAGATTGTGTTGTCCACTGATCGGTCTGTTGATACTCCACCAGTGATGGCTAATTCTATTGGGACCACAATGGAAACTGCTAAAATGCCTCGATCGACAGTTGAAACTGTTGTGATTCATGACCATAAGCCCTAGATTGTTGTCCATAATCTTCAAATTGAACTTATGCACCGATTTGAACTCCACTAAGCCCACCATGGCAACCATACTGAAGCAACTGATCAGCGCTATTTGATTGCCGAACTACTCCATAATGAGCATATGGTTGGATAAATCGGCAAGCAATTGTGTTTTTGGTCCCTTGAGAGTTGTACTAATCAGCATAAGTATCCCGTTCCAGAAACTGTGTATTGACTTAGATTTGCATTGCCCCAATGAGCTGCACTGTTTTGGCACCAACTGTAATCGTGGCACCCTTCTTCTGGACTTGTCTGCCAATTTGTGAGTTATGTAATCCCAGAACCAGGTTGTGTTAGCAGTGGCTATTGGAAAATCCGCTCACCAAGTAGTGATGAGCTATATTGGATATAGGGTTGTGTAGATAGGGGTTGTTGAGAAATCTACGGACCATGTGGTGATGAGCTATATTGGATATTAGGGTGTGTGTATATGAGGCTCGAAATTTCAGGCAACCTACTGCATGATGCAAAGGTATAGGTCGAACCTCCAGAGATGTCAAAGGCATAATTATGGGCGTTTGGGTAAGACACAAAAAATTTCGTGGTATGACGACAGACTCCAACAATTTATAATTCAAACTAAAACTTGTCCCACCGGACGTGCCAAATTTTGTTTGCGCAAAATTTGTGCTCCCGAAACTGTGGAAAAGGGGGAATAGGAATCACCCAAATCACAATAAAGTCAACTGATTGTGGTTGAGTTCGAACTGGCCTCTGACCATAATCGAGATCTTAAGGTTATTGGCTTTAGTTTGAGAAAGATAAGAAAAACCTAGAGAAAAGTGAATAATAGCCGAAGGGATGGCGTTTGACTCGTAAAGGTGGAAAAATGGCTCCGATGACGGCGGATTAGTCACTGATAAAAGTGAATACCTACCTATTTCTATGTAAGAGGAACATACAAAACAACTCTATCGCTAAACTAGGGGCTAAGCAAACATGATAGAACGTGAGGTTCTAACATAAGAAAGGTAAAAACATGATAAAAAATGCTGAAAAGAAAAAATACAATAAAAGACAAGAGAAAATAAATTGTGTGGTTAATCCATGATGTCTTTCTTCTTCACAGCTGCCTCTATTGATAGTGCTTGGATAAAACCCTGGCCGCCATATGCTTTCTTAGAGGAGAGGTAACTTAACCTAATTAGCTTCCTTGGAAATAGGAGATTATTCCCAAATATATTTCTTTAATTATTGGTAATTCTCCTTTAAAAAAGAAAAATAAATAAGAATGATTTTTTTCTTATTATCTCCACATAAATTAAGCAAACTCCGGGGCCATCATTATATCACCCGTCGACCCAACTAAATAAAAAATAGCCGAACAATTGCAATGATAATGATTGGTGCACATAAATTTTAGAGAGAAAATTAACAAGGAAACTAATCTTACTCATCCATATTTCTCACTTTTCTTTAACATTTTATGTATTTAAACGTAAGGAAATACTTAAAATTAAGTCGCTTCACTCCCTGCCAATTTCCTTGTCAATTTTTCATTGCATGGATCATTACTCTTATCGCAGTAAACATTTGCATTGGGGAAAGGGTATTCATTCGCAACTTTGAAGGTATGTAATTTTTTAATTTCTTCCTCGTCAAGTGGTCATGAAAGTGGAAGCCAGTACGCACATGCAATAAATTAGTCAGTCCTGTCGGTAGTATAATTTAAGACCAATCCTTAAGTTGTTGTTAAACCTAAAAAAATAAAACTAAAATTAAATTAAATTAAATAGTGGAAAAGAGAAATGAAATTTCTTACCTAAAGAAAAAGGAAAGGGTCGAAGGATTAGTTGTTGTGACAAATAAGTTCTGAACGTTCCACCTAATTTTTTTCTTTTAATTTTTGTTTCATTTTATTTTGTTAATTTGGTTCAATTCACTAAAAGAGCTGTATATAAATAAATAAAAGCTGGAGTTCAAAGGTGGACTAAATAACCTAAATCGGAAAATTTTCACGAATATGGAAACATCACACATTTTCTGGTCCCTAATTCTAGTCATATTCTCAACTTTCTGTCTTTCTCTTCATCACAAGCTCAAGAGTACTAATGTTAATAGAAACAAGTCCTCCAGCACAGCTAGCGCAGATGAAGAACAGCTCCGGCTTCCTCCAGGAAGAACTGGATTTCCTCTCATCGGCGAAACTTTGGATTATTACTTGAATTCTCGAAAAGGGACTCACTTTAAGTTCGTAATGGATCGAATGGAGGAATTCTCAACCAAGATTTTCAGGACATCGTTGCTTGGACAGAAAATGGTGATACTTGGTACTGTCGAAGGAAACAAGTTTCTGTTTTCGAACGAGAACAGTTTGTTTCAAGTATGGTGGCCTAAAATGACTGACAAGATCTTCCCAAAGTCCGATGATCAGCCTACGCAGGTGCATGCGAAAAGGCTTCGCTATATGATCTCGCCATTGATTCAGAAAGTCGATGGACTTCGCGAATGCATTGGGATCATGGATGATGTAATGAAACGACATCTGGAAATATATTGGAAAGGCAAAGATGAGGTGAAAGCCGCGGCATTGGTAAAGAAATACACATTGTCTTTGGGATGCAATATTTTCTTAGGCATCAATGACCAAAACGAAATCGATGAAATTGTGACGGGAATTGATGATATAGAAGCAGCATTTTTCGCAGTGCCAATCAACCTGCCAGGTACAACATTGAGTCGTGGACTCAAAGCTTCTAAAGTTATGCGTTCAAAAATTGAGGCAATCATTAGGCACAAAAGGATCCATCTTGGGTCAAAGAAGGATTCTGTTCCAGTACAAACAATCGTGAAGGACTTCATCTCACACATGCTTTCTTTCGAAGATGAGAATGGCCAACTCCTAAAGGAAGAAGACATTGCCAGCCATTTGGTTGGTTTAATTGAGGTTGGCTATACATATCTCCACTCCACACTTACAATGCTCATTAAGATCCTTGCTGACCATCCTCAAGTGTATGATTCCGTCCTCAAAGGTATGAAAACAAATTGATTGAATTTCAATTTTCTCTTATCATTCCAGTCAACCTTCTTCCTAGTTTACATATATAACAAGACAATTAAAGTGAATGAGATTGTTTAAAAATTGCAAGGAACTTTTAGATTATGAATAAAATGATGTGTGTTGTTGTCTTCTGTTTTCTCATTTTTCTTTTATGACTTGAGGATTGATAGAACAAAAAGAAATAGCAAGTTCAAAGGATTCAAGTGGCAGACTTAAATGGGAGGACTTCAGGAAGATGAAATATTCATGGAATGTTATTTGCGAAGTATTTCGACTATGCTCACCAGGGGTTGGCGGTTTTAGAGAAACTCTTACTGATGTAAAGTATGACGGGTACACTATTCCAAAAGGCTGGAAGGTACGTTTTTATTTTTTCTTTTATCTTCTTTAGAGAGAAAGGGACGAAACTTTTTTATAAATATATTTATTTTAAACTTCAATTGTTACAAATATCATTGTAAGTTATAATTATCATTTCATAGGTTCACTGGCTTTTACATTCAACGCATGGTAATCCTGAATATTTTCAAGAACCTGAAAAGTTTGATCCATCAAGGTTCGAGGGAGATGGCCCGAGTCCTTACACATTTATTCCTTTTGGTGGAGGATCACGAATGTGTCCTGGAAATGAATATGCAAGGCTTGCAATACTGAGTTTTGTGCATTACCTTGTGAATGACTACAAGTGGGAACAAATCATTCCAAATGAAAAAATTTCATATTTTCCGGTTCAAGTTCCAGTTCAAGGGCTTCCTATTCGCCTCTATCATCACAAATCAAACTTGAAATAGTCTCTCACCATCACTAGATAATATGGATTTGGTTGAGGAGCAAGGATCTTCCAAGCTTTCCCCACGTGTATGTGTATGTGTGTACTGTGGAGAGAGATTCAACCTTTGATGGTACTTTCTTCATAAATGTTGCCTTTCATTGTTCAACAATCCTTTCCCTCTTCGTAACCCTTACTAAACGTCTTTTGTACCCAGATATGAATAAAACAGATTAGTTGAAGTTCATCCATTTTGAATGTACACAATGACTGAAATTCCATACACAATGCATTAACTAATAACTGTAGACATATACAAATATATTGCCCCAAATTTAGTTGGTTGGTTACACTTTTTTTTAAAGTACGCTAAGCAAATGCTTGCTACGGTACATGTGATGAAAAAGGGGGCTAACAAACACCATTATCCCGCATTGAAAAGTCTAAAGTACTAGGATTTGTCAATTCATTTTCAGTAGGTTTTGATCGAGTCAGAATATACATATGCCCAAATGTTCTTAGATTGCGTAATTGATTGTTGCGTAATGTGATATCACCCTTTCCTAGCTAATGTATAAATTGGGAGAAAAACAAACCAACATTGTAATCATAAACTCTCGGGTAAATATAATGTGTTTGCAATTGACACCGCCTGTTGTAAATCTCGGGTTCATTAGTTCATTAGAGTTTACATCTGATTGTCCCAATTCAATGTAAAGGAGGAGGGTTACGTTAGATTGGCAGCCAGTATAAAACTTTGCCACTCTCATGAATATGGATCATATAAGAAATCATGTAAATGTTAGGATGCCACCCGAAAGTGGCGTACTGCAGTCTGACTGCGTCGTCTTGGCAAGGACTGCTACATCTTCATGGGGATTTGAGTGTAGTGAAAAATGGGCAAGAGGCCTCGGACACCAAGAATGAATTACAAGTCAAATCTTCCACCTCTTGGCAAGGACTACTACAATCCCATGAGGGCGTGAAAGTAGTGGAAACTAAGAGAAAGGCCCAACATAAAAATGTTAGGACTTGTAGGATAGGGAGTTGGAATATAGGGACACTAACAAATAAGTCTTTAGAAATAGTTGAAATTATGAGAAGAAGACGGGTAAATATTATGTGTTTGCAAGAAACAATGCGTAGGGAAAAAAACATAAGTTCTAGATAGCACGAGTTACAAACTTTGGTATGGGGAAAAGATAGAATAAGAATGGTGTAGGAATAATAGTCGAATTATTATTTGTAGATCATATAGTAGGTATTGTTAGAAAGGGAGATAGAATCATAACCTTAAACATTATAATGGGGAATGAATCCATAAATATAATTAGCCTATATGCACCTCAAGTAGGATTAGATGAATCCACTAACACTAAATTTTGGGAGGATTTGGAGTCTTTGATCCAATCAATCCCCCAAAATGAAAAAATATTTATAGGCGGGGATTTAAATGCGCATGTAGGGAAGGGTAACGGCGATAATGAGAGGGTGTATGGGGGACATAGTTATGAGTATAAAATAATGAGGACAAAACTATATTAGATCTTTCAGTGGCATATGATTTTGTCATATGTAATACCTTGTTTAAGAAAAGAGATGAACACTTAATCACATTCAAAAAATATTCTAATAAAATACAAATTGGTTTTTTCCTAACAAAGAAAAGTGATAAAAATCTTTGTAAAGATTGTAAAGTAATACCGAGTGAATGCATCACTGCACAACATAACCTATTAGTCTTGGATATAAGAATTAAAACTAATGTATATAAAAGGAAAATACCAAAGATACCTAGAATAAAATGGTGGAATCTTAATAACAAAGATACAAAAGATAGGTTTACTAAACCTTTAATTGAAAATGTCAATTGGAACATGGAAAAAGAGGCCAATAAAACATGGGAAAAACTAACTAAAGAAATAAGAAAAATTGCTTAAAAGGAACTAGGGATGTCAAAAGGTATTAAATGTATAAAGAATCTTGGTGGTGGAATCAAGATATTCAAAAAAAAGTAAAAGAGAAAAATGCTTGTTACAAAGTCTTTTACACTTCTAGGAGTGATGAGAACTTGGGAAATTATAAAAATGTTAAAAGAGAAGTGAAAAAAGTAGCAATTGAGTAAGATAAAACTTTTAAAAAAATTTGCGAAAAATTGGATACTAAGAAGAGAGAAAAAGATATTTATAAAATTGCAAAACTAAGGGAAAAAAAAAGACAGGAGATTTAACATAAATCAAATACATAAAAGATGAAAATGCACATGTTTTAGTTGAAGAGAAGATAATAAAAGATAAATAGAAAGAGTATTTTCAAAGTTATTTAATGAAGTATATAATAGAGAAATAATATTAAGGGAATTAGAGCAAAATGAACATCATAAAAATTTTACATACTATAGAAAAATCCAACCTTAAAAAGTTGAAAAAGCTATGAAAAAAATTTCATGCAAAAAAATTTGAATGTAAAGCTTAATTTCAAAAACAACTCAGGACATATTAAACACTGATGCTGATAATATGGCAACGCATCTTATAAAGCAAAAAAAATATAGCAAGCTCAGCGGAATTAACTCCTTGAATATATCAATTAGCAAAGACCCAACATAATTTGACTAATCCACATGGCCAGATGGGAATCCCAATGATTTTAACAATTTTGCATCCTTTGAACTGGTGATTATCAAGAGCGAGACAATAAATAAATCAATATATTAAGAGAAGTCAGAAACATACTTTCATTATTAAAAAAAAAAACTTTATTTAACTGTCCACTCGTTTTTCATTGTCTTTAACATAATTAGAGTCAACTACGAACATGAAGACGGAGGGATTATTGGAATGAAAAGTAAAAAAAGCCAACCTGTTAATCAGAAGATGCTTTTGAACGTAACCTCGAGATCTCGATCGTGTATCAAGAGACTAAAACAATTTTGATTTGGGTTAAAAAATTGATGATCAATATATGACACCAAAAGTTTTGCCTGTATATTCTCAGAAATTTGGAAACTGTTTGTTTTGTGTTTTAGGTTAGGAGTCAGGAAGTCATTGTTCTGAATAAAAATTAGTTGGGGCAATCACTTTGAACATAATGTAACTAAAAGGAAAAAAAAATCCTGTTGACCGTGATATGCAACAACCATGTGCCTTTAATAATGTGTCTGATCAATGCACGTGAAGTTGAAGTCAACTTATATCTTCTATTGATTAATTACATTATCTTTTTCAATACAAAAAAAATATATTTCGATGATTAATTTACATTATTTTAGAGACTTTTATTCAAATATCTGGATGATGAGAAAATGGAACGTTATATGGGTGCCCAAAGCAAGCACAATTTGAGACATTGTAGCTAATATTGTGCCACTAACTAACTGTGTCTAGAGAGGATCAAATGGATACATCAAAAGTGATTGATATGAGATTTATATTGCTTTGGTGTTGCATCATCATGGAGGTGGTTCATGGCCGCAATAACGCTGTTGATCTGAATCCGAAAGCGGTGGAGAAATGGTACGACAAGATGGCTTCCGCAGATGGTCGTAAGTTGACCAAACTTCATCTTTACAGCCGAGAAATAGCATCCGGAGGAAACCCTACGGTCGTGCAGATTGCACGCTGGGCCAACAACACCGATACCGGGATCATCGCCTTTGGAAGGACCGTGGTAGTTGATGACACGCTTGCATCCGAATCCTACAAGATTATCGGCCGAGTTCAGGGAATCTACTCCTGGACAACGTCCACACCTCAAACAGCTGAAGATGGACCGGCATCGACTGGGGTTTTTAGTATGGTTTTTACTCAAGGGGAATACAAAGGCAGCACAATTAGCCTCCTCTGTAATGATCCGATTTTCCCCAAGTACCGGGAGTTACCGGTCGTCGGTGGTTCAGGGATTTTCCGGTTAGCCCAAGGTTCCGTCATCGAGGAAACCATAAGTGGCGCCCCAAATGGAGATGCCCTTGTCAAGTTTACTGCCTTCATAGTCCATTATTGATTCAGTATTAATTCCTGAATTTACCACTTTTTGTTATGTTACAACCTACTCTTCACGGGTAACCTTATCATTCCAGATTAGAGTCCAAAAATTCCAAAATGGCTAGCAATGAGGGTTATTTTTTGTCAACTTATTCACTCCAACCTCCCTCGAAAGTTGCTTGGTCTTGTTACTCTTTACCAAAGAGGTTTTCCATATCTTAAGGTTAATTAAATAGTATAGTCTTATGTTAATGTACTGTTAGGACTTCAAAATCTCGGTTTTGCTTAATTGCTTACTTGTTTTAACCCTTTTTCCAAGTAGTCTAGCATCACTAGTTGTGATCTTGAGGAAATATCATGGACTAAATATTACTTTTACGTAAGATATTTCTTCTAAATGACAAGTCTAAAGTACTACCCGTGTATTTTGGTTTCAATTAATATAATGGGGAGGCTTGCCCCCCCGGGATACTGTCCCTGATTAGGGAAAAGGAAAAAAAGAAACTAGAGTACAAAAATTCATATCGCGTAAGGTTTGAAAATTTCATTGAACCTATATATATTTTCAAGGATTTGTTCCACCTAGAGTGGGCAACCGAGTCATCCTTGTGGGTTTTGGGTTGGATCATTCCAACTTATGTTAAAAATGTGCCATGACCTAACCCAACCCATCTAAGTTTGGCTTATGTCAGGAATCAGGAACGGGGATCCTAGACTTAAGTACGATTTATGGATAAATTGAATGAAAGAGACTAAAAACTCCTTTCAATATATGATTTCTTTGATTTTCGATAACTCCATACAACTCTTACAATTCTAATTATTTACTCTACTCAACCAAACATTAAGAATTCTACAAATCAGTCCTATAGTTTATTAATATGTTAGTAAAGACCCCCCGAACATGAAATCCCCCCCTCCCCCTCACGCGTTAAAACAAAATCTCGATCTCAAGACTATATTGTTGATTCAAGATCTTCAAAATAGCTAGCTATTTGTTTTGCGTAGATCTCCAACTTGTTGATGAAGACACTTGGGGGGTCGGAGGAAGGTAAATCTATCATATATCAGCCATCAAAACCATATTTATATCACAGTTTTTCTACCCTTTATACAACTTGCATACTATTATCAAATAGCTGCTGAATGATAACACTTTTAGTTCTAGTCAAATTCTGCTTCCTACATCCTTTAAGTCTAAAATACAGTTCTTTCTATATAGATTCCACAATGACATCCACGCTTCTTTTTTCACCTGTGAAGATTTTTTTGTTTTGCTCTTCCCAGATATAATATATAACAGCAACTAATGCAGCATACCAGAGCTGAGATTTCAATTTTGTTCCTCTCCAAACTGACTTGGCTTCCTTTCTCCATGCCGACCACTCTGTAGCAATTTGTCTAATTCCAAGCGACTTCTAGAATCTCAAGAACACATCAGATGATATTCCACACTCAAAGAACAGGTGTTCATGGCTTTCAAGAGAAGATTGGCATAATGCACACAAAAAATCTACCTCTTGGATAAACATCATAGCTAATCTATCTCTTGTTAAAAGTCTACCCTTCCAAACAACCCAAGCTATAAAAGAGTGTTTAGATATATTCAACCTTGACCATGAAATAGCAGTGAGCTTCCTTGCAGCCACTTATATCCTGCAGCAATGGTATATATATTAGCCATATTCCTGTCCTTTCCATACACTACCTTCAAACCCAGCCCTGCCCTGATCTCTAGCTTTTAAAATTTGTCTCCAATGCCAACTAGAGTCAGGTTCTTCAACTACTTCCGGGACAGTCTCATTTTTTAGATACATTTCATGCACCCATTTAACCCACAGAACATCACTTTTACTGGCTATACTCCACACTTGTTTTAATATGGCTACCTAATTCCATAGCTTAGTATGTCTAATTCCAAGCCCACCCTAATTCTGTACGTATTCTATTAATTGTGGTTTGGGGGCAAAATAAAAGTACATGCCCAGTAGATGCATAGACATCAATACAACATTACCAAGTTGCACTCTACCTGCGTATGATAAATGTCTGGAACTCCAAACTTTTAATCTAGCCATTATTCTTTGTATCAGATTATCACACTCCATTTGAGTCCCTTTCTTTGGTGAGATTAGGACTCCCAAATATCTCATTGGGAAAGCTCCTTCATGAAATCCTGTTCTTTAACACAACAACCTTCTTTTTTCAGTGTTGACACCCCCAAAATAAATGTTGGACTTTTGTGGGTTGGGATGCAAGCCTGTTGTAGCTGAGAATTCTCTTTCATCTATTTATTTACTGTATTCTCATCTGCTTCACAAAACATCATTAAATCGTCAACAAAACATATATTAGTTACCTTTAAATTTTCACTTAAGGGATGGAATTTGAAGTTAGAACTTACTGCCACCATCTTCAATTTCCTTGTTAAGTACTCTATTACTAATACAAATAGTAATGGTGAAACGGGATTACCCTACCTAAGTCCTTTGATTCCTGTAAAATAATCAACATTTGCACCATTTAATGATAAAGAATAGGAAGTAGTTCGTACCCATTCTAGTATCCAATCTGTAAATTTATGAGGAAAGTCATATCTTGCATCATTTCTTCAAAGCAGACCCATTCAACAGTATCATAAGCTTTTTTAATATCGATCTTCATCAGGCATCTTTTGGAAATCCTTTGCCTTTCTGTACAACCTGATTAACTCTTGGACTATCAACACATTATCAAGTATTAGCTTATTACTGATTAATGCACTTTGATTCTCATTAATTAAGATGGCCAGTATATTCTTCATCCTTTCACATATCACCTTAGAGATGCATTTGTAGATCACATTGCAACAAGAAATGGTTCTATACTCTCTTGCATTCCTTGGTACCTGTGTTTTAGGAATTAGGGCTAGAATTATGACATTAACTTATTTCAACAGCTTTTCTGATGAGAAGTGATAGAGTCCATAATACTATTTGTATTGTTCTTATTTTACTATATGGAATTGAATGGATTTAATTTATTGATTTTGTTATTATTTTGTGTTAGGTGCTGGAAATGAGAGATTAGAACTGTTTTAGATGATTTTGCACAATTAGAGACTTAAATGCATAATTGGTAAAGTTTTAGGCAAAAGTGAAAATAATACAAACTTGAAGGACCAATCTGCAAATTTCGGGAATTCTTTTCTTCCTTCTACAGGCGTGAGTGGGCAAGAGCAACCACCTCAAACCCTTTCGTTTTTCCCAAGTTTTTGTTTTTCATGGAGAATAAAGCCCTCATAGTTGCATTCATAAGTGGCTAGAATTTTTATTTCTGATTCAAGGGATTTATTCAGTTATTACATTTTGAGATTTTGTTCTTAATTTATTATTCTTGCCTACGATTTAAGTATTTGTTGATTCTTATTCTTATTTCATGAGAGTAGATAACATTCGAATTTACAACTTGATTTGTTATTTTCTTTCTAATACCATCTGTTAGTTGAATGTTACGTAATTGACACGAACCGGCAGTGTTGAGTAGCAATTAGACAAAGCTTGTGTATTGGTGAGACGTTGAATATGCATGTTAGTTTAAATGTGGAATCAATGAGACAATGCCTTAATAGTTATAGCTATCTCAAGTGTTTAGGTCTTGCTTCAACTATTTTTCCATGGTCTTTATGATGTCATTGTTTGGAATAGAACGCTATTGTGCCCAGTCAGATTATGACAAGAACTCACTAAGTGCTAGGCTTGGTTAGTTAATTCAGGGAACTATTAAATTTATTACGGCTATCCTAATAGATCTCTGGTTGAAAACTTAGATTGCTTGAATAGTTTAGCAATCCGTGATTGATGAAATAATTGAGTTGTCCGTCCTTGAGTCAGAAGTTTGTTACTTTGATTTGTTTTTCTTTTATTATTTTCTATTGTTTGAATTCTAATTATCATAGTTTGAAACAACAATCCAAAAATCCATATTTGAATTAGTTTGAAGTAAACAATCTACCGTTCCTTGAGGAGACGACCTCACTTCCTTATATTACTGTAGTAGAATTAAGTTCATTTTATTTGTGTGGCTTGATACCCCATAAAATTGGTACCGTAGCCGAGGAACGGTGTTAATTGATTTGTTTCCTTTAAATTCTTGTTTTGTTTTATTTAATTTTATTTTTCCTTTTGCAATGAACTCATATGGACATCAATCTTGAAACTGATGAGATTACCTTTGGAATACAAATGAAATCACCATACAACCGATGGAAGCATCAAAATGCCATAAAAGAACACACGGACCTCCACAAGAAATACCAGATTGCTGCCGCTGTCCCGCTGCTGTTATTTGTGTGGCTTGATACCCCATAAAATTGGTAGCGTAGCCGAGGAACGGTGTTATTGATTTGTTTCCTTTAAATTCTTGTTTTGTTTTATTTAATTTTATTTTTCCTTTTGCAATGAACTCATATGCACATTAATCTTGAAACTAATGAGATTACCTTTGGAATACAAATGAAATCACCATACAACCGATGGAAGCATCAAAATGCCATAAAAGAACACACGGACCTCCACAAGAACTACCAGATTGTTGCCGTTGTTCCGCTGTTGTTCCCCGCTCCCATCACCGCCATTGAAACTTCATCGCCATCAGTGTTGTCTCTGATTGTTGCCGGCGATCGCTGCTGCTCTGTGCTCCGACCGCTGGCGCAATTGTTGCCGGTTGCTGCGCTGTTTAGCTCGCCAAAATTTGGCAAATTGCTTCAATCACTTCCATCCCTGCCGCTGAAATCTCTGCTGCTGCCACCGTTCATTGTTGCTGGTGATCAATTCATCAGCCGATCCTTCAATTTGCCGTCATCTTCATATAATCAGGCGTTCCAATTCCTAGCGACTGTCGTTGATTGCTCCTCTCATCGACTGCTGCGGTTGCTAAATCCATCAAAATTCCAGCGCTCAGTTGTTGCCGACGGGCTCCAATTCCTATTGCTCTCTCCTCGTTAGTGACCACCCATTAAATTGTGGCGGATTCTTCCACTCCTCACTTGAATCCGGCGACCCACGCTCCAATCAATTGTTGATGTTGCCGAATCATTTCTGGTTCGCCGCTTGCTGCTCCTGATTTTGACCATTGAACAGCTGCTTAAATCCATTCTTCCGCCAATTGCTTCGTCCGTCGGCTCATTCTGTCAAAGTCACCTTGGGCTCCCATCTCAAAACCAATTAGCAATGAGTAGGGTGGCCTTTGTCACTTATAAATAGGTGACAGATCCTTCACGACACCGATGTGGGATTCTTTTGTCCCAACACCCTCCCTCAAGCCCAATGGTTGGGGTTGCACAACACAACATAATTCACCAGATATACTGCTGGGTCAGTCAA